CCTGTCCAGCCCAATCGTTGTTAACGGGAGGGGTCCAATCCGAATCTACGGAGGAATCCCACTGTCCAGCAGCTGCTCCCGGGGGATGACTGGGTGACCAGGTAGGAGTTGGTGGTCTTCTTGGAGGGGACGGGCTTCTCGGGTGGTCCTCGAGTAGTTCCGGACTACTCAGAGGGGCCGAATACGAAGCAGCAGGTGTTGAATCTGTCCTCCTCCTTCTCCTTGGCTGGTCATCTTCGTTAGTAGAAGACCTATGTCGTCGTCGTCTTCGTCGTCTTCTTCTTTCTTGTCTCCTTCCCCTAATCATGTCACTGGCTAGGCCCAGGGTAGCTATCGGCCAGCGAGCTAACTCCCTGCCGGTGGCTACGTCTCTGACGATCCAAACATTTTCAATCTCTACCCCTGGAAATATGTAAAAGTTTTGGACATCGTCCTCAGCCATACTGATACGGTGTCAGCAGAACTGATACTAACAGAATGACACCGAGCTCTGGCAAGCTGCCGTATTTATGCGCACATCACGAGCGTAAAAGAGAGCACCCCTAAACCGAGAGCCAAAAAAATCATGGCGACGTCAAATTGTGTTATTTTGTGCTTCATAATCTATACTTTGGAGTGAATAACTTATTATGGGATTAGAAATGCTTTCAAACATCTTACCCATCAGATGAAGGTAAGTTTCAGGCATGATTTCACACTATTTTTGATGCATGACATTTATCTGTCGTCTAGAAAAGAAGCATTGATGTTGAACCGAAGGGCTAAAATCGGGTCACCTGAATACATCAAATAAGTATTTTAACCTTTTTTAAAGTGTGATACAAGGAAAACTTAATCTATACAATGAGATTAAACCTAGAGAAAAGTGTTGATGCTGTTTTTAAATCAAAGGAATGGTTTCAAGTGTAAAAATATAGCCAGAGTCGGTTTAGGTATAGACACAAGAAGGCGAAGGTCGGCCATTTTTTGTAGAAAATCACTGTAATGACTTGTATAGAGAATATAGGATTTTTTTAAATCGTGACCTTTTCTGACTGGAATTTTTAAATAAATCAAATCAGTTTAGTTGAAAAACAATTTGAATCCACTTTATTTCCAGTGGGAAGGTCTAGATGTTTTATAAATAACGATACAACACAGCGTCTTATTACAAGGCACAGCATTCTATACACATAAGCATGATTTTTTTAGGAATCCTGAAAGATTTTGAGATAAAACAGAATCGTTTTACAATCAATCTATATCTACTTTAATGGAAATGGGAATAGATTTTTTTTTTCTGACTAAACAAAAAAAAAAATCTCAGCGTCTAAAAAATCTCAGCGTCTAAACCAGGGCACAAGATGGCGTCCTATTTGTATAGAAATCATAACAAAAGACTTATTGTGGTTGACATCCTTTTATTTTTTATTTAATAATTGTTCAAATTGTCGAATTCTCCTCTGAAATCGTAATCGATCGGCTACTATAGCCATCCATGGACTTTTTCGATCTTCGGGTGGTAAATGATAAATTTCATTCAGGCTGGTATCAAAAGTTACACATTTCTTAACATGTCTGAAATTTCTACATATTTCATCCCGTATTGGATGCATATTTTCTCTACCGCTTCTATTTCCTTCCAGAGTAGACATACTTTGCTCCCTTCGGGATGACATAGGAAACTGTAAGGTTTTCCTAAATAGTCGCTCATTTTCATCCCGTACATTTTTTCTGGTAGAGTCTTTTTGATCCGTTGACAAAGGAAATGTATAATGGCTAGTCTCCCCACTGTCGGATGATGTAATAAAGCCAGGCATTGTAACCACAAGTCCTGAGTATTTTCTATGATGGTCGTCGCTCTCTGGAACACTGGTTCCGCCTCCGGGGGTAAAGCTGCTGGATTTTTCTCGATACATCGCATTAAAAAATCATACCCTTCCAACACTAAAGAGTGAGTGTGTTTATGTGTTGACATGATAATCAATTGTGAAGAAATGACTAGAAATGTTTTCTTATTTATACCCCTGTTATCTATACAAGACGTACACAGAACGTACAATGTACTGACTCAGCAATGTACTGACTCAGCAAAACGTAGGTAAAACGAGAGAGGGTGCTAAGCGCGAGGGTCTAAAACGTAAGTCAAACCTATTTTTGCACACGAAATTCAAAAGGGTATATAAACCAGAACTGGAAATTTAGGATCATTCTTACTGGGCACTTGGTACTTGACAGACGTAGAAATATGGCACAAGCAATGATGAATTCCGTGGAAAATCGTAATTATATTCCAGCTACCAATGAAGGGTAAGGATATGCTCTACCGACAATGCCTGACACGCAGGATCCCATCGGATTTGATCTGGGACTTTATAATATGCCTGAACCCATGACAAAGGAAGATATGGGCATCTTAACCACCACTTTGGATGGCATTGTCAACATGCTGACTCAACTGAAAGAGTACAACACTAGTGAATTTTGTTTGATTCGTGGGAAATTGTCCCGATTAGAAGTTAAAGTCGCTAGAATGGAAGAAAAAATGAGAGGATACGAGAAAAATGAAAACACAGGAGCTGCCAAGAAAAATGAAAACACAGGAGCTGCCAAGAAAAGTAAACAGACAGACCCATGTTTCATATGTAAAGAATTAGGACATTGGGCTCCGGACTGTCCCAGAAAAAAACAGAACTTATGCTACAAGTGTGGAAATTTTGGACATTGGGCCCATCAGTGTACAGATGACAGTATGGAATTACTCAAAGAAGTGGAAAAACTGGAGAAAAAGGCACAAGAAAACAAGACCACCCAACATAAGACCAGTCAACAGGATCAAAAGCAGATTAACAACAAGAGGAAACTTCCTGCTACTACCCAGACGGAGAAGACCCTGAAACTCCAGAAGAAAAAGTAAATATGTACATTTTTTACTTTGAATAAATCATCTTACACACTTTTTTACTGTGTTATTGTTTTTTCCGTTTTCAGAAAATAGAGCTCTGTGTGAATGACACACATGACGTCACAATGGTATACTTGAATCCATGCCAAGATTGTGTATTGCCTAGACCTGACTCAGCACAATACGTAGATCAAACGTAGACCCCCCTTTGATTGGGTTTTTCCATTCTCTATACTAGATTGAACCGGTCATCTGGGGCCAAAAAAAAGTGTACTCAGTTGACCCGGCCATCCAGGATCTGGGGGGACAAAAGTGCACTCAGTTGACCCGGCCATCCAGGATCTGGGGGGACAAAAGTGCACTCAGTTGACCCGGCCATCCAGGCTCCTTATACTACTTATAGGTTCACCGGGAGTTTGAATGTAGATGTTACATATTCTCAATATATATCTGATTTTGTGAATGCGCCGGCTTCCCCTACTATTGACACATTTAAAATATGCCATTGAACAGAAGAAAAAAAAAATATTTGTAAGATATTCCTAGCTTTTTTCATTCTAAGGGTGAGTCAAACGTATAAGCCAATTTTCACCAAAAGCCGTTTATTAGAACTGTCCTTCCTGAAATACTTTATTTTAACAAATAAGATATATTAGATAGTCTTGTTGTATATTTAATTTGTTAAAATAAAGTATATCAGGAAGGACAGAACGAAGAATAAACACAATGTCTCAAGAATTTCCGAACAGCCTTCGCACTGCTGTAACTTAACTTGTATTTCTTGTGCATGACTTTTTTACAGGATATTTTTTTTTAAAAGAATACATGTACGTTTCGAGATGAAAAGTGATCGTACTAACATAAATTCATAATATGCACCATGTAAAGTTACATTAGTATACAATAGATATATAATACTGTTTCTTAACACAAAAGCTTAATGGTTGAGTGTCAAGTCATGCATTGTTACATTTAACCCAAACAATGGGTAGTTTAACTACAGAGGAATAAGTTCAGAAAATTTTATATCTTCATTTTTCTTTTCAATAGTTTAAACATTTGTGTAATTTTGATAAATTAATTTCTCTCTAAAAAAAAATTTTTTTTAAAAAACCCTTGTACTAAATTAGTATTAAGAATACTAAGAATAACTAGTTCACATTTAAGCTTTGAATTTGTGTCGCTGGAGAGATATATTTTTAAAATGCCAGGCCCGAAATATAAGATTGACATTCTTAAAATAATTCAGGAAGCAAATACTGCTATTTGTTTTGACAACATAAGGTTTAGTACATCAAAGAGAACATGTTAATTATTTACATTCCATTACATGATAATATCAGTTTTATTATTTTATGGTTATGTATCTGTTCTTTGTACCACTTCAAGGTACGCTAACAAAGTTGTAATGTATGCGCAAACCTGGATGTTTTTAACTTTTTTTATTTATAAATGTGCAATGTGACCTTTTACAAATCGAAAAATGTAAAAATTGTTTGATCTTAACAACAGGATATTCGTTTGTTTGTTTGTTTGTTGTTTACCGTCCCTCTTGAGAATTTTTCACACATATGGAAACGCCATGCACCACTTGCCGGTGGAGAGCTGCAAATTTTGACCTATGCTCGGCACGTAGGGCCACTGAGCAGTGAGGGATTTTTTCGTGCCAGCACCTACTGCAACACGGGACCTCGATTTATACGGTCTCATCCGAATGACCGGTCTTCACGTCCCCCAGTGGGATCGAACCCGTGACGTAAGGATCAACTCCTTACTCCGCGACTTTAGAGAAGACACTCTACCACTGCAGGATATTCGTACCTCCATTTAAGAAAATCTCTGCCTAGATAAAAATCTTATTAATTGCACTTGCATTTTAAATAAATTTACCATATGTAATACATCAAAAGAGTTTTTGGAATGCTAAGCATTAAATAAAAAGTTCATTCTTACGCAAGAAATGAAACAAAAAAAAAATTGCAAAAATGGCATTTATTAGTAGAATAGATTTTAATCTTTATGCAATATCCAATACATTTTTATGGTTATCCTTACTTTACGTCATTAATTTTATCGTGAAAATCGCTTCAAGTTATCAATTTTTTTTTTTTTACAGAAGAATGAAACCCAGCCTTCCATGAATGTTTTAGAAGCCTGGAATAGAGGATATAATGGCTCGGGTGTAAATATTGCGGTTATCGATGACGGGATACAAATGGATCATCCTGATTTACAAAGAAATATCGTAAGTTGAATTATCACTGAGTATGTGTTGTATTCTTCCATGTTAATTTCAACAAATACGCAAAAACTATATCATTAGAAAGGGTCTACGAAGCTTATAGGGATACATCATAGAGACTTTGATTATATGGAATTAACTTCTTACACATAGTTGAAACAATTAGTAGTCAGCTTTATAACAGTTTCGTACCAGAAGAGAAGGGTATCTTCATATCATAATTTCTAAAAATCTTATTTTATTAGGATGTTGTAAACAGCTATGATTATATTGGAAACGATACGGATCCCTTTCCAGCAAACATATCTGATGAGTAAGTCTCACAGTTTCTTACACAGAAACATAAAAGATAAATGTGTTTCTTTTGAAAATAAGTTATGACACAGACATTTAATTGCTGATTAAGATATAAAAGCTAGTAAGTTCAAATTTGAATTACAACAGAAAACACCATGAAAATAACCTTAGTGTTAAACGTAATATTTTAACATTTTGGAAATTGGTCCAAGTTACATGTAGTCTTTTTTTGAAAGTTTTACTGTAGTTATTATCAATTTAATTCGGATAAAGGAATTTAAACTTAAAGATCTAATCAAAAGACAGAATCTAAAAAACAATATGCCTCCTCCCTCCGATCTCGGGGCATAAAAATGAAAAATGAAAATGCACAACTACAGTTGCTGATCATCATTTCTTAAAAATTTCATCAACATTGTGTTATTTCCGGGCAGGAAAATACTTGAACAAAACCATAGTCTAGCAATAACAATATGTCGTCCGACTTTGTTCGGGGCGAAAAAGCGGTTATTATACAAATTTGGTGACAGAAATAATGAATTACTGTAGATTTCTAAATATATGCGAGGAATTAATTATCGCGTAATTAAGCGAGAAGCACCACTTGCGAAATAAAATTACTCGCTTTTATTTTTAAGGTGCTGAAATCAATGTAAAATTCGTTAATCAAACGTCCACTCGCGCGAATGATTGTTCTCGCGATTTAACGTTAAAGAGCCAAATCGCGATAATAAGTACTCGCGAAAAATAAGGAATCTACAGTAACTTCAATTAGCTTTGTTTGTGTAGATTTTCAAAATGAAAGATACCTTAATCTCTCACATTTTCGAATATTTTCAACAGTCATGGAACAAAAGTTGCTGGCATAGTAGCGGCAGAAGCAAACAATGATGAATGCATAGTGGGAATCGCCTTTAATTCTACAATCATTGGTAAATTACAATCCAATCATTTACAATTTTCAGCGAATTATTTCAGAGAGATTATCAAAGTATTAGGGGATTTAATTATCTTTTCACAATGCGTAACACAAAACATCAGTTACATTTTGTCTTAATACGAATTTTACATTACGCAGGAATTAGGCTGTTAGGAGATGATGGAGTTACAGATGTTACAGAGGCGTTAGCATTGACTCATAACATGCAGGATGTAGATATATACGTCAACGCTTGGGGGCCTGCAGACCGATATGGTTACAGTACACCAGGTTCAGTCACTTATTCTGCCTTTCTGGATGGTGTCAGCTCTGTAAGTCATGAATCGTGATTTTTATTTTAGCATAAAGTGAAATTATATGTAATGAATCTGAAGCTATCACATCACACGACTGTGTCACATTTTCTTATGACATGGTAATCCTGTGTTTTTACTATTCAGGGAAGGAATGGAAAGGGAAATATATTCCTTTGGGCAGCAGGGAATGGCGGCATAAGTGACAACTGCAACGCTGATGGTTATGTAAATCAAATATTTACAATTCCTATTACAAGTGTTGGAGCTGACGGTGATGCGGCTTCTTACTCTGAAGTGTGTGCCCCTGTGTTTGCCGCAACGTATTCCGGGACCACACAAGAATATAATTTGGTAATTTATAACAAGATATACGCTTGTTCATTAAAAAAGAGATCATTAATCCACTATATCTCCAGTGTATCTAAGTTGAATTTTGAAACCCAATAGCGTCTATGGTCCATTATGTCTATATCTCCACAGGTTATTAGCACTTGAAAACATACTGGAACTCAGTTTCAGATTTGGTTTCTTGGACTAAATACAAATGACATAAATTTGCAAATGATAATATTGAGAGTATACAGACAGACATCGTCGTAAGCCACGGGTTTTGTGTCCATTCAATTTCCACAAACCCGTGGCTGCTTCCTACCAAATTCTCTCGTTCTCGCGACTGAATCATTGAATATTTATTAAGTGACGCCAGATTTACCTTGACCAATGAAATCACTCTGTAGCAATTTTTGGTACGCTTAAATGGCGGCGCCCATAATGAAATCATGTTTGCTATGCGTGGCAGATTTATTGAAAAAAAATATGATAGATCCTGAAGAACAGAGGTGAGTAACGTATATTCTAAAATACTTACAAGGTTTTACATTAAAATACAGGGTTTTGAATGTAGACGTTGTGTGAGAACGCTGAATAGCGTTACTCGTTAAGAAAGGAAATTCGAACCGAAGTTGATGTACAGCTCGTGGTTATGGTTACATCCAAATACAAGATAGACTGATCATTTTCATTGGTTCTGACTTGAAGCGTCAGATGTTATTCCATTGGTTGAATGTATGTTATTAATGTTCATGAGAACGAGAGAAATTTGTAGGAGACAGGCACGGGTTTGTGGAAATAGAATGGACACAAAACCCGTGGCTTGCGACGATGATAGACAGAAAATGAAAAGATTACAAAATTAATGCAAAGTTTATTCTCCCTTTCACTCAGAAAATATCATTAATGATTTACTATAAACCAAGATGAGAAATAGTTTAAAACTGTCCGCCTCCGGTTTATGAAACATTGTATGCAGAGTTATGTCCGAAAGCTTATTTGTTGACTGTTTTTAGGTCACCTGAGTCACTCAGGTGATCTATTGCTATCTGTTTTCGTCCGTCGTCGTGCGACGTGCGTTAACATTTGAACATTTTTAGCTTCTTCTCTGAAACCGCTCAACCAATTTCAACCAAATTTGGCATAAAGCATCTATGGGTGAAGGGGAACAAAAATTGTGAATTTCATGGTCCCTATCCCCCTGGGGCCTGAGGGGTGGGACTAAAACCACCAAAAATAATGCAATCTTTAAAAATCTTATTCTTTACTCCTGGACATCAAGCAGTCAAACTGTTGGCATGATTGTAAAAAGCATTGAGCCCTCTTCCAAACTTTTGAAATTCATGGCCCCAGGATCAGGGGTTCTGGTGCTAGGGCGGGGCTATATAGATCATATAGTGAAAGTGCATTATTTCTTTGAAAATCTTTTTCTTTGCTCCTGGGTATCAAATAAACTAACTAAGTACATAGTTATGAAGAGCAAGAGTACCTCTTCCAAAATTGTGAATTTCATGGCCCCAGGGTGAGGGGTTCTGGTGAAAAGGGGGGGGGGCTCTACTGATTATATAGTGAATATGCAATAATTCTTTGAAAATCTTCTCCTCAGTTCCTGGATATTAAATAAACTAACCAAGTATATAGTAATGATGAGCAAGAGTGCCTCTTCCAAAATTGTGAAATTGATGGCCCCAGGGTCAGGGGTTCTAGTGTTAGGGCGGGGCTCTATTGATTATATAGTGAAAATGCATTAATTCTTTGAAAACCTGGGTTCTAAATAAAGTAACTAAGTACATAGTTATGATGACCAAGAGTGCCTCTTCCAAAATTGTGAATTTCATGGCCCCAGGGTGAGGGGTTCTGGTGAAAAGGGGGGGGGGGCTCTACTGATTATATTGTGAAAATGCATAAATTCTTTGAAAATCATCTTCTCTCTTCCTGATTATTAAAAAAACTAACCAAGTATTTAGTTCTGATGAGCAAGAATGCCTCTTCCAAAATTATGAAATTGATAGCCCCGGGGTCAGGGGTTCTGGTGTTAGTGCGGGGCTCAATTGATTATGTAGTGAAAATGCATTAATTCTTTGAAAATCTTCCTCTCTGCTCCTGGGTATCAAATAAACTAACTAAGTACATAGTTATGAAGAGCAAGAGTGCCTCTTTCAAAGTTGTGAATTTCATGGTCGCAGGGTGAGGGGTTCTGGTGAAAAGGGGGGGGGGTGGCTCTAATGATTATATAGTTAAAAATGCATTAATTCTTTGAAAATCTTCTTCTCTGTTCCTGGGTATTAAATAAACTAACCAAGTATATAGTTATGATGAGCAAGAGTGCCTCTTCCAAAATTTTGAAATTGATAGCCCCAGGGTCAGGGGTTCAAGTGTTAGGGCGGGGCTCTATTGATTGTAAAGTGAAAATGCATTTATTCTTTGAAAATCTTCATCTCTGCTGCTGGGTACTAAATAAAGTAACTATGTACATAGTTATGATGAGCAAGAGTGCCTCTTCCAAAATTGTGAATTTCATAGCCCCAGGGTGAGGGGTTCTCGTGAAAAGGGGGGGGGCTCTATTGATTATATTGTGAAAATGCATTAATTCTTTGAAAATCTTCTTCTCTGTTCCTGGGTATTAAATAAACTAAGTAAGTACATAGTTATAATGAGCAAGTGTGCCTCTTTTAAAATTGAAATTGATAGCCCCGGGGTCAGGGATTCTGGTGTTAGGGCGGGGCTCTATTGATTATATAGTAAAAATACATTAATTTTGTTAAATAATCCTGTTTGCTCCTTAGTGTTAATCAGATAAACAAAGTGAATACTGTCTGGTCCCAGGGTGAGAGGCTCTGGAGTTTCTCGGTGGGGACCGGGGGGGGGGGGGGGGGCTCTATTGATAATATAGTGAATCTGTAGTAAATAATGCATTATTTCTTTAAAAATCTTCTCTGCACCTGGGCATATCAGAGGCAAAAAAAGTACAAGTTTTAATAAAGATTTTTGAACATTGGGACCATTTTGTCAAGTGTTCTGGTCCTGGCCAGGGCTCTATTAATTTGTATTTTTACTGAGAGGAGTTATTCCCCTTTGCCATTTACTTATGATAATTAGTCACTGTAAATAATGTACTTGACAGGTTAATAGAATAAGAGAATTATGCAAGATTTTTTATCGTATAATACAAAAAGTACTTTCATAGTTTTATGATCAGATAGACTTGTAAGTAATAGATAAATAAAAATGAGACAAAAATAACTTGTCTCATTCAATGCTCATCAAAGACCAAGAGAGTCCAATGTAAGAGATTTCAACAAGGAATTAAAATAGTACAGAAGCACTGATAGTTTGTTAATATTCTGTATGGTGTTAGTGATAAATGGGGAACAGATCAGAACTTAAGTTATGAACTGTTAATAAACACTAGACTAATTATTTTGTTGATCCTGATCACCCTATTTTTCTTGCTTTTGGGCAACAAAGCTTCACCTTTCAGTTCATTTTATACTCGATGGATCTTCTAAATTATATAAGTATTATACTCAGGTGACCGTTAAGGCCCTTTGGCCTCTTGTTTATTTTTCACAATAAGAATGAAGTTGAGTTTCTGATGTTTGTGCATCGTCTCAAGCCACGGTCTGGAGTCCGCATACTCCTACCCGCGGCTGCTTGATCACATCTTGAATAATCATGCCTCTAATGTGACGTCAAGTTCAACAAATGAAAATAATTATTTCTACAGAATTGCAATCAACAATATACAATAATTTTGAAAAAGCAATCGGGTATTGAAAAGTCGCATCAAAGGTCATGATTAATTTTCTATAATTCTATAGACGTCTACCACTACAGAATCCAAGTGTGTTGATGGATTAATAGGAACGTCATTCTCTGTTCCACAAGCTGCTGGAATAATTGCCTTGGTGATTCAAGCAAAGTATAAGATTGTATAAATTTTCTACTGTTTTAGTTGTTAATCTAAAAGAACAAATTGCAGTAAAATTATGAAAATTGATTATTTGTTTTAATTCACATTATAATCAATAAATCATATAGGAAATACTTTAAATGTGGAATTCAGATGAAAATATTTATTTACATAGAAATCCTTAGAACCAAATGCTTAAATGGAACTTGACTTCAATGGAAAAGACACATTTTTTTTCAAACTTCGATATCTTTAAATATTTGATTTTCCCGAAAAACCGTTTTGCAGTCCATCTTTGACTTGGAGAGACATGCAACATCTTATCGCGGAGACAAGCAAGAAACACAATTTACAAAACCTACAAGGCGGATATTCCTCTTGGCAGAGAAACGGAGCTGGGTATAACGGTAACTATGTACATGTACAGGATATATCATCGAATGTTTGAAATGGTAAATAATATATTAGGTATTTACAAGTGCAAAATAAGAAGATTGATCGCTATTCTGTTCTTAGTGAGTCAGATTTTGGGCTTTGGCTTAATGGATGCAGATGCTATGGTAGCAAAAGCAAAGACCTGGGTGTCAGTTCCAGAGCAGATTATATGCGCCACTGGAAAATTCTCTATTGAAAGGTAACACTTGATCTCTTAAATCTAAATCACACACACACACACACCTACACACACACACACATATATATATATATAATCAGCATGTTCAACAATTTTACTGTTATATTAATCTTTCTATAAGAAATACTTTTTCTGGTTATCAGAAGCACGGGACTTTCTTCTGGCGTTTTAAGCAAAAAGGAAATCACGACACAAAATTGTGCGATAAACACCATTGAACACGTCGAGGTCTTTGCCAATTTTACATATTCCAGTAATAGGGGTGATGTACTCCTGTACCTAGACTCGCCTGCAGGGACTCGATCCCATTTAATGACCCATCGACCAGCTGATTCAGCTAAATACCCATCTGCTGGTTCATTGAGATGGTATTATTCATCGGTGCATTTCTGGGGAGAGACAGTTGATGGGACGTGGATATTAAGTATTGACTCAAACAATCGTTCTTCTGTTCAAGGTACATGTAAGCTTTTGTTTGTTTTTAATATCAAGTTATCTTGGATCTTCAAATAATCATTCTGTTTTATATTGTGGTCATACGGGTTTGATCCCCAGTGGCCAGATAGCTCAGTTGGTAGAACACCTGACTGGATATTTAGAATCCTGATCTTGTCCATCGCATTTTTTCCTCTCCTGTTAAAATTTTAAGTAGATAGATATTCAGACTTTTGAAATAATAAGGGTCTTCTAAAAATAAGAGAAAAGGAAAAATTAAAGTTAGAAATAAGCTTTTATAGGAGTTTTTTAAAATTACAAATATGTGATATATTTTCTAATGAATTTGTTCTGATGAGATTTATGCATGCTTATGAAAAGATTTTATAGATGTATTTTCATCTTTGGCTTTCAGTGACTTTACACAGTTGGCGTTTATACTTTTATGGATTCTATAAAGGTATTTCATTTGCAAAATTTATTCTTGATGACGTTTATGTAGGTTACAATTGCCATATTTGTATTAATATCATTTTCGTATATTGCATTTGAGATTATTTTGCCCTGTTTTGTATTTGCCCAACATGTTTTTCTATATGTCTCATAGCAGATTATCTTATTTCAAAATCTTCCTTTACACGAAAGGACATAATTAAATGTTAAAATGTTGGAGTGCATGGAGTTGCTTTCTTTGCAACTTTATTCTTATTTGGCTAATGTGGCTTTGATGATTTATATTCTAGAAAGAATGTTTGTTTCGTGAACACTTGAGTGTAACGTTTTATCTATTTATGAAAAATACATTTTTAACTTATTCGTTTAAAAACCTCTTTAGATAACTCAGGAGGCACGACATCGACTACAGAGACAAGCACTAGTGTGGATAAGGAGTCAAAAACCAGTTTGAATACCATAACAATAGCAGTAATAGCTACAGTAGGCGCTCTGGCTATTATAATTATCTTTTTCGTTCTTGTACGAAAATACTGCTCAGATAGATCCACTCCAATGGGAGGTCGAGTAGCACCGATAACAGCGTGATACAAGATACTGTCACAGCTGTTAGTGTATGAACAAAAAATCAGGTTTATTTCAGAAGTTACAGTGTACTCGTTGGATTATTATCTTTGATCTATTATAAGGAACCGATATTCTCTAATCTTGCTTTAAATTAAAACTCATGTATATTCTGTCATTTTCTTACATAGGATATTGATATCTGATTGTGGTTGACAAATTACCAAATAATTAGATCATAATACATGTTAAATATATTTTATTCAACCACAGTACAGCATTAAGTATGAACTGTATCTAATTTTTTCTTTTACTTTTATTATGTTTCTAAAATAGGATAAAATAAATATGTAAATGGTGAGAATATCATTGTATACTGCATTTTTTGGAATGACAAATCACTGACTCTGATGAAAGAACCGTTCTTTAAATATCACAAGAGCGCCAGTCATCAATTCGTTTTTAACATTTCTGTATAATTATTTCATATACAACATATGAATTCATGTGCTGTAGATATTACCTTGTCTCTATCTTCAACAAAAATTGATACTTAAGTTGTTTTGAATACGAAATAAATGATGTTTTCAGTAGAAAGTAACTGAAACAGTTAAAATAAATCCATTTTAAGACTTCCTACAATATCACTATGCTTCAAACATGCATGGTCATTCAAGAAATCACTCGATGTACACTTTACGAAACAGAACGAAATTTAAAGAGGCTGCACGACCCCTTTTTGTAATAGTGGTCCATTTTTGTGTAGACGTATCATTGGCCAGACCAGGAAGTCGATCTTAGATCCGGTCTTTGTGAACTTCCGGAGCATTTTATCGTCAACTACCTGTCCACGGACAGCAGTAAAGTCAATCACAACCGGTGGATCTTGTACGCTCATCAACCAACACAGCTCTGTACACCGATCAATGTAAGACTGACAAGCGTCCTTCTCCTTACTGAAGACACTCGCCATAACCGTGTTCACACGCTACAATAACGATTTCTAATGTTTTAAAATAGCAAAGTAAAAGCATAGACTTTTTAACTCTGACTTTTGTTTTCTTTTCTTAAAAACTGAGTGAAATCTTACTTGTTTGACATTTTTAACCGATTGTAGGGCTGTAGATTTGCGTAGGTCCTTCAACTTCTTTAACTGATCGCTAGGTAAATTCGTGGTACCAGTAATCTGAAATAAATATAATTAAGATTTGGTTATTTATACATTTAACGTTTTTGAAAAATGCATTGTTTTAATATAAAATTGAAAAGAACCAAAAACAAAAAAATTAAAAATTGAATTGCGTTATTAGATATTTTACGAAAGCATTCAACAGAACCAATGGAAGCACATGGCATAGTGTGGTTTGAGAAGCTCGGACTCTGTGTGAAATAGGAAGATTAAGGATTGAATGATTGAAGCAAGGAAAGTATTAATATTACTTTCAGCTTACAACTTAATTCAACTGGAAGCCACTCTGACATTATAAAAATAAACATGTATGTTAAAATTCGCCTGCATCGGTAAAATTGTATTTTTATGTGACCCGATTTTCAAAACTGAAATATTAAAGTTTAAGTTCTAATTTTTGGAAGGAAAAAGATTTTCATTAAAATATTTAAAATTACGAAGCATGTTTCTTAATTCTTTCATTGAGATATCTCCAAGTTCAACATAATAGATATGTTCAACACTTTCTTTAAACTATTATCAGTCATGTCTATAAAAAGTGGGAAAGAACAAACCTCTTTTAACTGAGCAAACTGATCGTCCGAAATTCTGATACACTCGTCGAAAATTCTCTGAAAAATAAATATGTAAAAATTCATTGGATAGAAAAATTTAAAAGTAAGAAAGTGAGGAAAACCTAGTTGAAAGGTACATCTGCACGAAACCAGTTAACTAGTACTAATTATAACGCTACAGATGTTCCCAAGTTCCTTATGGTGCCCAATTCCCTAAAACCTTCATAAGACTACAATTTGTGATATAGATCCTCACTTGATTTTCATAAGTATTTCATCGGGAAACAACGCTGATCTAGCCGTTTGAGTATAAACCATTTAGATTTAAGCGCATATGCATGCTCATGTTTCCTAAATTTCTCACGCATAATACCGTCTCGCATAATATGCCTGTTTTAAATCTCAAATACTTTATTGAAAAGTAAGACAGATATTGCCATTTAAGAATCAGCCAATTAGAATTGAACACACGTACATGCAAGTACTTGCATTTACTTTGATAGTACCATAATATATGAACACATTATACATGTTCTTACCTAGTACATTCTGTAATTTGTCCTATTTTGTTGAAAAGGACTAATGACCTTTTGCTCTAAATTTCACAAACATTTTTTTAACTTCCCAACATTTGTTTTCATCAACAACTATAGCATCAGATTCATATGGAAAACGAAGCGATGCTTATTTTTGAAGAAACGAATTTTATGCATATGAAAAAAAAGTTTCACACAGCGAATAGAAAGAGCAGTAAGTTATAGTTACACTATAGATATTAATTGGTTAGCGGTAAATACACTCATAGTTTTTCATTCACTAGGGGCAGAGCCCCGAGTGAATAAAAACTGTGAGTGTATTTATTTATTTATTATTATTATTATTTTTTTTTTGAAAAAAGGGGGGATGGGTATGGGAAACATTGCCACTGAACTTTTTCTATATGGCAATCGGCGTACAGAAAAAAATGAAATGATTTGTGACATTTTAATGAAAGCTTGAAATGGTATTGGAAGTAAAAAAAACAAAACGCGGGGACTTCTGATGTGAAATTGCTAATTGTATTTGGAGACGGGAAAGAAAATGAAGAGAACTCGAGATAGGACGTATCAGTAACTGATTAAGGATACGCGGAGAAAACATACAGAAACATTTATGAAGCGAACATCGACAAGCTAATGTTAGTATTTCTTAAATTAAAAATGTGACTTGATTCATTCATCAGCCAGGTCTGGAAATTGACATCATTCATTCATCAGTCAGGGTCTTGTCACAGTATGGCTTGATGCCAAAAGGTGGGCGTGACTTAAAAAAAACTGTGATTCTTCTGGCAAATACACCACAGCAACATCAAAGCAAAATCTAAATTTACCGCCAGTCCTATGGTACAATTTATTACAATAACATAAAATTGACAATATGACGTATATATGAAAATCATACAAATCGCCATACATATTCAATTCATATCAGGAAACATAACAAAGCACTTCTTTTTGAGTCAGAATATCACATTGTTAGCTCTGCTTGTAAAAAAAGTATCCTTCAATAAGAGTTGTCTTTTACTGTAAAAATACTATTGATAATTGAAATTATTTAAATGGTACAAAATAGAACTATATAAAATGTAAGAGTTAAAAGTCTTAATGCAAATGTTTTTGGTCAAACAAAATAAAAGAAAATATGAAAAATATAGGTTAAAGGAAATAGAAATTCAGTTTTCCTTTCTGTGTTGGTTTTGATAAAATTGAATATTCGAAGGTCTCCACTAAAAAGTGATGATTTACTAAGGGAATTATCTCTCTTATCAGAGGGTCGACCCCCCCCCCCCTTTAAGAAACTTAAGATATAGCCATTTGAAACTTCAGCCAATCAATTTCAGCACGTTTGCATTCACATGTTTACAAGAATTCCGGTATATATCTATTTTAGAACAGCATAATGTACACCTATATTTTAAATTTTAAAATATTTCATCTAAAAATAAGGAGGATATTGATATTTTTGCGTCAACCAATCAGGACCAAGCACACCAGCAAGCGTGTGCTTTCATGCTAATTCAACCACACCATCCTGTCTACACAACTAATATATGTTCATATATTGAGTTTCAAAGCATTTCATAAAAAAGGAAGATTCAATTATACAAGTCATTTCACTAATTGCAAGCGCATGCATATGAATGTGCATGCATGTGCCGCAAAATGACCTTCGTTCTGCACAACAAGACTGGTAATCCTAAAGAGGTTTTACCTCAGTCGATGAGTAGTTTCTGAGAACATGTACAGTCGCGGACAAAAAGGTACCGGAGAAGAAATTTGAAAAAGAAAGTAAAAACAATATGTTCATGAACTTCGTTTGGGAACCACAATTCTTTATATTGATATAGGAAACAAATTCATATCTTATTTTCTCATCCATAAACGTACGAAGTAATTCGATGACTGTCGATCAGACACAGTTAAAGCTTGTTATTACTCTTGGTTTACATTGCGGCACATTTTTTAAAAACAAGAGGCCCATGGGCCACTTTGATCACCGGAACACTTTGGTTAATGAGTTTGTTGTTTAACGATAATCTCGAGAATTTTTCACTCATATGGAGACGCCACCACTTGGAGGTTGGCTGCAAATTTATACCTATACACGGCACTCAGGGCCATTGAACAATGAGGGATTTTTTCATGCCAATACCTACTGCGACAGGGGATCTCAGTGTATCCCATTACGAATTGGAGCGAGCCTTCGGCTCAGGTGAGCTAAAAAGCAATCTCTGAATAATGTCTTTTTTCAATCAAATGGCCTTACCAAAAAGGCCTAGACCAAGGGTCAAGAATATCCTCTCTTCAAGTGTGCAAAACATTTTACTCTTTGTAACTTTGGGGCAAAAGCCTTTGCTTATGACTTTGAACAAGGGCGTTGACAAACCCTCTCGATACAAGAAACTTTTGTGCAAAGTAGGATCTTTTATGCTTATGTTCAAAATATATGAACAAAACAGTAATTTACACTTTGGAAATTCTGACGTTATTCATATGACTATAATTCAGGGTCATGTCACATCCTCTGGCCATCATATCAGAAACCATCATTTTGAAAGTCTTAGCTTATAGTGTTTCTCAATGAGAAAGTTATGTCCTAGAGTAAGGCTGGCATATTTATTATCCATTCTCTCATGCCAAAAACAAATGGTTTCATCAATTCCCTATAAACTTTATGTACATTAAAAGTTAATAAAACATTGTGAACCAAGAAAACAGTCGCCCGCGTGACACAGTGGTTGGAGCGTTTGCTCTAGGATCGCGGAGTAAGGAGTTGATCCTTACGTCGCGGGTTCGAATCCCACTGTGGGACGTGGAGACCGGTCCCTCGGAAAAGACTGTATAAACCGAGGTCCCGTGTCGCAGTAGGTGCTGGCACGAAAAAGATCCCTCACTGCTCAATGGCCGTAAGTGCCAAGTTTAGGAAAAAATTTGCAGCTCTTCACCGGCAAGTGGTGGCGTCTCCATGTGAATGAAAAATTCTCGAGAGGGACGTTAAACAACATACAAACAAACAAACCAAGAAAAAATGAAACAAATCCAAACATTTATATAGGTAACAAAAGGGGATGGCGATAATATTTATGTATTTGTCAATATGATATTATGTCCAAATGTAATGTGAAAAAGATCAAATTTATTGACTAATAAAACTTTTACCTTTAATATGCTAAGAAGACACTGAATGCCCTCCGTTTCACCGAATCTTAAATTTTCTTCTAGGTTTTCCATAGCGTCGGTCCATTGATCATCATAAAGTTGACTGAATTTCTCACCGAGATTAATTGGTCTGTTTTCGTCACTTAAATCAGCTATGCCAGGGTTGTTGTCTCTCAGTTTTTCTCCAGCCACTGAACTTAACCTAAAAACATTTAAATTTAGTCCCTTAATTCTACTTTGCATAAGTCTTAATCACCTGCTGAATTGGAAAAAATTCTACAAACCTGTTTAAAGCATGGTCCTTTTCTCGTTTAACTTCCGTATAATCTCTTCTTAGTTGATCCAAGCTAAAATTTAAAGTAAAAATGACTAGGAAATGTCAATTATTTGGAGCTTTAAAATGAATTGCTTTCCAAAATTTAAAAATCAGAAAGACTTAACTACCAAAGATAAATAATTACCTTGAAGATACTCGTTCCAAGTCAGATTTCAGATTAGTATTTTCTCGATGAAGTTTCTTCATACCTTCATCAGAATCCAATCCCTTTGGTTTCTGCAGATTTTTTATTTCTTTATTTAGGACGGAAATTTGTTCATGAGCCCTGCCCAATGGAGAGTGTATCCAACATTTTTTAAAAGAATAAGTAAAACAAAAAATACTAAAATACAGCGTTTTCGACCTTAAAATAACCTCATGGAAGCTTGAAGACAAAATAAAATAATTTATTGAAAATTTCAATGTTTGTTTGGATCAAAAGGGACAATTTTTTTCTGCTTAAACGCTTAAACTATACATTTGTAAAAAAAAAAAAAAAAAAAAAAAAAAAAAAAACAAACAAACAAACAAACAAACAAGAGGGATATAATAAGGAAGACTTCTGAAAGTAACACCACTTTCTGCTTTAACTCTGACCTGTGACAAGAAAGCAGCGACGTTAAATAGTATTTATATTTTCTGATTTCAAGCAACAATTGGGAAGGATAAATACATTTAAGAATGTTTAGATGTGCATACAAACCAAAAGATTAAATGACAAGAGACAAATTTATCAATCCGTTTGCTATTATGGTCTCTGAAGATAAGAGCTCAGCAAAAATGCAAAAATCAAAAATTAAAAAAAATATGTGTGATTTTTTTTTCTAAATGAGATATTTTAATGAAACAATGCGCTTAAAACTTACTTTTTCAAAGTCATCCAAATACGTAAAATTACTTTCATATATAAGACCCAGGGGAACCTGAGATGAGGGTATGGCTATTCATAAATTTTTTAGAGTATATATAAAACAATAAAAAGCAAACATTTACATTAAAAGGAGGAAAATTATTCTAATTAACTTCTCTGCACTGTCAATAAATTTGTCTGATTTTTTAAATTTTATTCTGTTGTAATTGTGACTCCATGCCATCCCAACCCACCCGCTCCTACTCACTGAAGTAGAATTGCATGCCTGTGCATATATACATAATAAAAAACTAGACGCACATGGGCCATTGGCCACAAAACTCTACGAGGTCACAATACCCTTACTTTCTTGAGAAAATTACCTTTAAAGATTTCTTTCGTTTTTTTAATCTTTATGGAGAAACGACACCCTATGTGTTTCCAGCCTAGTTCCAATGCAGAGATTGAACCTAGCTAACCCAAATCCATAATTCTTGGGGATGCATCAATACATGTATTAATATTACTAGCATGTTCTTGTTGTTCTAGAGATGATATCTATATGATGTCTTCTGTATAAGTGCATTATGAAATACTTTATATCCCATGGTGTCCCCACTTTAACCCCTATCCATAATTTAAACAAGCTAAATCAGAAAATTTATATCCCCCAAAAAACGGTGGAAGAAATTGACTTGATTGCAATTGGTCTTAAGAATATTTTGAAAAGATTTCTTCCATATATTCCTAAATCTTTAATCTCTATTGAAACTCAGCCTTACTACTGTGGTCATAATTTTAACAACTTGATTCTACAATTTGTCAGAATGCTTGTCAGAATATTTTCTGGGCCTAATGGAAGATTTTTGAAATATGCAATATATTTTTACTAATTCTTAATTATCTTCCTTTAAAAAATGGCATGGCTATTCAATGAAAAAAACACTTAATATACTGCCCATGGATATTATGTGGTATGTTTTGTAAAAATCTACCCAGTGGTTCTAAAGAAGAAGACAAATTTGCTAAAACTATACAGACGGATGCTGGGCAAGATGTAATCTGAGAAGATCAACTAAGCTTTTCAGTTCAGGTGAGCTTAAAACAATATAAATTACTTGGTAGTAATTCGATCCAATTCTGTTTTAAGAGAGGTGTTTTCTCTCTGAAGTTTCTGCATACTCTCCTCATTTCCACGCTTTTTTGTTTGTTGAAGATTCTGGATTTCGTTTGACAGAAGGACAACTTTTTCCTCTGATCTACGATTAAATATCGAAATATAGACAATAAAAAAGACAAACAACATATTGTCAATCAAAAAGTAATAAAAATAGCAGAAAACCTTACAAACCTCGCAAGTTTTTCAGCCAAACACTCTGCTTCTTTTTCCTTCTCTTGAATGTGTTTGGACATTCTGAGGACTTTATTATCCATATTCTGCTTGTCTCTTCGCAGATCTTTACACTCTTTTGTCAGTTCATCAAACCTGAGTAGAGAGATAGAAAATTACTCCTGAATTACAGTGTATACGAGCATAAAATTATTACGCATACATTTATACCCACCAGTGTCAATAAGATGAAAAAAACTTGATTCGATATTTGAGTCAAGATTATGAATCATTTGGACATTCAGTGTGTATACATATTATTTTATTACATATTCCTCCTGCAAATATTACAAGAATTTTCATCTTATTGTTGTAGTTAGGTGTGCCAGTTTTTACTTCTTTGTAACATATTATCCTGCAAGATACCTGTCTAGTTGTTGCTTAAAATTGTCGATTTCTTTTTCTTTACTCTTTATATCTCTGCTCAAATCAAGACATCTTTTCTCTGTGTTCTCCTTTTCCGTCTTTATTGTATTATATCCAGTTCTTAACTCTTCCAGTCTTCAAATAAAAATAGGTAATACTTAGGTTAATTGGCAATTACGCCCTTCCAGATAGGCATATAACTACACACGGATGAATGATACGCAGTATGCTTCTACCTGTTTTACTTTTCATTCATATTTTTAGGATGCTGCATAAACTCGTAATTCCATTTCCAAAAATTTTTATATTGAAACCTACAAGCCTTGTTCATTTTGTTTTTCTTCAAGCTTCAAGCCCCCGTCATAGTTACAAATACAGAATTTTGTTGATTAACAGTTGACAACTCATAATACCGCATTTTTGTGTCGCCTGCAAAGCAGAGAGGCACCAAGGGATCACTTTACCTGGCGTCTGTCTGTTTGTCTGTCTGTCTGTCCGTTAGTCACACCCTATATCTCTAGAACTTTGCAAAAAAAATACCCCCGGCAATTTAATTTAACTTATGACTTTTGAATTTTGATAGGCAGGATTTTGATAATTAGCATTTATACATGTTTATGTGCTCATGATACTGTACTTTGAAACTGTATGATATTCAGTTACCACACAAACGTATATTTAAATACTATGAAAATACATCGAAATCGCTATTCCACAATGAATCGTGTAGATTGATAATTGCAGTAAAGACAAACTAAAGTCTCTTTTAGAGGATTATTGGAAACACGTTTAGCTGAGGAAAAAGTACTTTTAAACTGTATGACATTCAGTTACCACACAAACTTATATTAAAATGCCATGAAAATACATCGGGATCGGTATTCCACAATATCGTGAAGGATCGTGAAAACTGACAATTGCAGTAAAGACAGACTCAAATTTGTTGGAAACAAGTTTTAATAAAATAATAAATAGTTATTTCTAATCATTTCAATTTAATTATTCATTTGAGGGTTAAGAAACCATATTTGTTTGATTGTCAGGTTCTATCACAGTCTTATGCTTTCCATTGATTTCATTTTTTCTTTGCAGGTAAATGCATGAACTATCATGCTAATAGTATATAAAAAGCTGACCACTCTTAGATTTACAATGTATTCACACCTTTAATAAAGCTACAAAGCAGGCGACACATGCGCTCTTTGGAACACTCTAGTTTTCAAACATGAGTTCGATAGTCCTCGTCATCCGAGTCACTAATGGCTTTCTATTCTTCCGCAAATGTTTTCGAAAAATATTCCTATGTAAAACTGTGATCACTTACTATGGCTCCACTCTACCTCTGGGAGTTATGATTTGAAAAAAGCTTGAATTTATAATATTAAAGAGTGCTTCCATATTGAAAAGACTTATCATGCTTTTCCAACTGTTGAGAAAACGATTTTTTCCTATACATTTCTGTGGTAAAATTTTGAGAACCTATATATTGTGGCCCCATTATACTCAATGGGTTATGGTTTAAAATCTTTAATCTACACTACCTGAGAATGCTTGCATATAAATATGACAGATTCCAAAGGTATTAAATTTAACCCCGGGTGGGGGGCAGAAGTGAGTATCCTAATAAATTAAATTTATCTGTGCATATATAATTATGCACAGAGAATGGCTTAATTTATAAATTATAATTTTTAAATGGTGCACTTTAATTTATTTCATATTTTCTACTTTCGACCACTTTTGTAAAAAATGTGCATTAAAACAAGATATAATTAACCAATAATTAATTAAGCAAATACACGGATAGTTGGGGGGGGGGGATTCCCTGAATTGATTTTACGTATTGATGAGCAGATCTATTTAATGATTAAATGTTTTTGATCCTCCAATTGATTTAGGGGTTTTTTTTTATTCTGCAAAGGAGGAAAGAAAATAAAATCAATTTGAAAATCGACCGGAATAAGACGTTAATATGCAATTATTGACGTCTGTATAGTCAGTTATTTGTTGTTGGTCGTTACAGTTAAAGTAAAAAAAATCAAAGTACATTCCAGGACGACTTTTTCGTGTATGGGGTTGGGGTTTTACAGTCACTTACTGAAAAATCCATCTCAGAGTTATTTTTTGGAATAAAAAGATAAATGAGATAATGCCCCTTTTAAAAACACACTACGTGGGCAATGCGGTGGGAGGGGGTTCTTTCCATTAACAATCCGTTTTCCAACACATTATTTTATCAAACTAAGGGGATTCTTATATTCTTTTTTGCTTCTTCCAAAGAAGGGAGAATTCTTTGGTTACTTTACCATATAAATATCCTGGAAAACGGGTGCTGCCCCCCCCCCCTTCTTTCACCTTACGTTCCGCAACTGAAAATGAAAACTTTTCACCCATGAGTGAACAAATCCCTATTTCTAGCTAAAATTTTCCCTGCTAGCAAGAAAGAAATTAATTTTGAAAGAGTAATGGCTAGATTTAATTATTCATTGCTTGATATATATATATATATATATATATATATATATATATATATATATATATATATATATATATATATATATATATATATGTACGTATGTATGTATGGATGTATAACTGAAACAAAAGTAAAACTAGTGCTAATTGTAATGGGAACCGTCAGAGATGTTCCCCAAACGCTCCCCTACTCCCCTTTTCGCAGCACAATTAAGGCTACAATAAGGAGGCGGGGCCTAATTTTTACGGGAAATGCTTACTATGACATCACACAAAAATATAAGTTCTTCAAATTACCACAAAATGAAATGATTTGCTATTGTAAACTGTTGAATAGCTTTAAACTACATCAATACTTACTATTGCATGTATTTTTGTCGATGGGTAAATCCCACACAGCAATGTTTTAACAATTCACTGATCGCAATGCACTTGTCAATGTGACGTCATATCGGAAAATTTGACGCAGTTTGTATGCAGTGAGAGGCGGATCAAGTTATATTTTATACAATGAAAAATGTATTTTGTAATTAATTAAAATATTATTTGCAGATATATAAAAGGCCATTAACTTGGATGCGCTGTATATTTTATGATTTTATTCATATACTTCCCGTACATTCCCTAAACAAGCGATACTGCCGTATATTTGTATGCAGATTCATTGAAGGGTAATAAAAGGGTCGTAATAAATCGATATATTGCAAGGGCATACCCTCAATGAATCATGACAAGCTTTTACACATAAACTCAAGAAGTATGAAGATATTTGAAAAGTGCTGCGAACCTGATGAAATCTTGCAAATGAATTAATGATGCCTATATTTAATGTACCTGACCAGCAAAATATTCAACATACGGTCTAACAAATGTAATTTTAGCAAATAGATAGTAGAATCTAAATAGGTTCGCAGCACTTTCTACAAACTACAAATGATGTTGAAAATTATTATAAATTAAACTTAGATTTTTAACTTGGTTATGCCCTTGCAATATTTGAATTTATAGATGACCTCAATACTGCAGATATATTTGCTAAGTTCACGTGACTGCCACATCACGTGACAAGTCTAAATAAAAAATCTAATCGTTCTCAACATGTAGTTTTCAAACCACATTACATTTGTCCGATAATAAGAAAGTCCTAAAAAGAATCGCTCGACCTTGTAAAGAATGTATTTTCTATCTCAAAAATTCGCCGATATTTCCATTTGGCACCTTAACTGTACTGCAATGGCACCATTCCTTAGAAGCTTCATTAAATTAGGCAATTCTTTTTAAAAAAGAATTCTACACTTTATTTTCAGAAGTCGAAAAACAACGCCGGTATAGTCCTTTGAGTATTAGCCAATCAGTGCATGCGCATTGCTATATTTTCACATATCTTTCTCGTAAAGGGGCTCGCAAAAAATACTTATGTGTAAAATCTCAAATATTTTCATTGAAAACTGTGAAAGATTCTGCCGTATAAGTATTAGCCAATCAAAATCCAGCACGCCTGCATGCATGTTCTTGCTTTCAGGTTTGATAGTAGCATAATGTAGGAACCCATTATACCTATTTATATTCTATATTCCATCATGTTTTGTTGAAAACTAAGAAAGTTACGGTCATCTAGAGTTTAAGCCAATCAGATTGTAGCAGATTGCATGCACGTGTTTTCATGATACCTCAAATACATCATATTGGACAACCTTTCAATGTATGATTGTTTTAAATTTCAAAGTATTTCGTCAAAAAACAAGAAAGATATTGAGATTTTCAACCAATCAGAGCGAAGTACGCGTGCATGCGCGTGCCTTCATGCTTATTAGACAATATCATCTTGTGAATACAACTAAGATATATTTATATTCTGAGGTTAAAAGCATTTAAATAAAAAATAGGGATGTTAAAGCTTTTTTTTCAATTATATTAATTGTTTCACACATCGCCCGCGCCCGCACGTGCATGCAGGTGCGTGCATAATGACATTCGTTCCGCACATCTATACAACATGTTAACCCTGTTAACCCTAAAAAGATTTCATTTCAGTTTCCGAGAACACTCGCGTAAAAAAAAAGTACCGGAGAAGAAATTTAGAAAAAAGAAAGTAAAAACAAAATATTCCCAACTTCGTTTGGGGAACATAATTATCGATCTTTGTTTATCTGTATTCTGCCCGGTGGAACCGGTCAATTAAATATTGGACCGCTTTAACGTTTTAAAATGTTACACTTTTTTTTCAGCCTACGAATTTCAGTTTTGGAATTTACCGAATTGTAAATCCACAATGCAAGTAAACTATTTTTTTACCAATATTTTGCTATCTTTATCGCAAACAAGGAAGCCAGTGCAAGATATGTCAATATAAATTAAAAGGTTTGAACTGACTTCGGCCTCATGGCCTCGGTAAAACACTTTGGGTCTTGCCATAAGTCCGATAAAACGCATGTTGTTCTCGACCCAGTCAAGGAATGTACATTAGTAAAATCATATTTGCATTTCTGTATATTTTTTTTCTTTTTTCTTGAAGGGGGGGGGGTCAAAAGATTTTGTATTGCACAAAGATGCATAAACCATGATAACGTATAGAGAGGTGCGTGCGCTGGTGAAGTTGTTGAGGAAGTGGCAAGACAATCTACATAGAATACAGCAATCCAAGCATTCAAATAAGGACATTTTGTGACAGTAACAGTAAACTGTTTCCTGAAATAATTTAGTTCCTCAATTTTACGTAAATTGGGATATTCTGAACATGTATTTACTGAAATTGTTTTAATTGCATGCAAAAACACAGATAAAAACTTTGCCATTGAGGAGAGTAATGAAATCTAACAGTGAATATATATATATATATATATATATATATATATATATATATATATATATATATATATATATATATATATATATATATACCGTGATTGTAAAGAAGTAATGACATTATCGTCTTTCTTCCTTTTATCTTCTGTAAGTAATACTTTGTTTCTTTCTTCTTCTAAGGCTACCATAAGAGTTTCAAGCTTTGCCTCTGATCTGTTGGAATGTAAACAAAGTGTAATGCATTGTTATACTTCAGGATAATTTAAAGACTTTGCTAGGTGGATTTTTTTCTTTAAAGTCGAAGACACACACATATGCAAGAACTTCTTTTCTAACTGAATGGTTATAGCACTAAAATAATCAAGTCAAACTTGAAATTCATTTAAAATTAAGGGGAGTTGATTAAAATATCCCCATAACTTGCAGTAAGAGTTTCTATCATAAGGATGACCATGATTTGCAAAATGAACCTTTTAAGACGTTCCTCTAATGTTGCAATTAATGTATCTTTCTCTTTAATTTTGTTTTCTATAAACCAGTACTGCTCTTCCGTGCTAATTTTCTCTTCTTTGTGGTGTTCAAGATTTTCCTCTGTTTCTATAAGCCTACAAAATTAAAGTGATACAATCTGTTATTCAACATTTATTTGATAAACTATTTTGAATAGTTGTGCATTTTTTATTTAAAGCTTAAGCATCCAAGAAACAACAATCCATGTCAAAGAATTAATTGCCTCTTTGAACAAAGAATTATGCATTTTGATAAGCAATAAGTCTCTTTAGGACTACAGAGTATTTTAAAAACTTAACCTTAATTTTGAGTAATCACAGTAAGTAGGAAGAAGTACTAAATATGTTCTCAATGCATATTCAGAAATGAAAATATGAAGACCTGTCATTTAATTTTTCTAACTGCATACAAAGAGAGGAATTCTCTTTTTCAAGTCTTTCTATAATGCTTTGTAGTTGTTCCTTGTTTTCCTTCGCTGCGGTATTTTTTACTTCCCGTTCATTAATCCTGAAAGAAATATTACAGGAATCAAATTAACATGGTATTTCAATGTAAAATTTATTTTCATTCTATTATCTATTGCTTGTTTGTGATTAGACCTTTGTACATACAGTTAGTATTATAAATTTTTCTTTAAAATGAATAATTGTCATCATACTCACTAATTCATAAACACAATGTGAAAGATCGGAATTATTCAGAAGTTTACTGGTTTATTGCCATAACTGTCAAAAATATCATAAAGTTTAAAATGTGTGTTTGTTACTGCATACCCATTTTACCGCCCGTCATGGCAATGAATAAGTGACCAGATAATCGAAATTCTTGTGTTTTTAAGTGCAATTTTTTCAGGGAATTTATTTATTTATTACAGATTAAATATTATTCACTGATTTTAAGTACTTTTTTTATGTATTGAAGAAGAAAACGGGGAGGGGCGTTTTTTTCAATCATAGAAATATGCCCCGGGGTTAGAAGTCAATTCATGACCCATATTTTATTTGCAAGTCCATTTTACAGTTTACCAACACTCATGATCATTTAACAAAGTATTCCCGCTTGTTCACCAAAAGTCGATACTTAGCTCAGTAAGGACAATTTATTTGCCCGTTTTTCTATCATCCTTAGAAAACATTTTAAGTTTTCGGCAACACGTTTAAGAATGTCGGCGGACCTACAAAAATGCACCGATCAGATCTTTGTTGGATTTCGCAATTGTATTTCAGTCAGATTCAAGTTTCTTTTCAGTCAGGTTCAATTGTGTCGTCACTCAACGCATCACTATTTCGGTCGCAGTGTATACTTTCAAGCAGGCTTTGCGATAAAAGTATGCTGGAGTTCCTCATTGACAACATTTGTATAGTTTACCAGGCCCCAAGACCATAAGCTGAGAATAGACTTAGGTCAAAATTTCAAATCAATATAACTTTTGAAATAATTTTGATAATGAGACAGAATTTTCATTATATGTTTGAACTTGAATCTATACTTATAAATTAATAAATTTTGCAAATAAACTCCGAAACGAGTGTACCAGAGTTCTTACTTACTCCTCTAAGAATACACACGATACAAGATGATGTCCGTAAACTATATTTAGATTTCACTTGCATTGTAAGTATCGTACATTAAATTAAAAGTCTACTTTTATTTTCTGTAAATAGCCATGAAATAGCAAAAACGCGAGTACGGTGGCGTTTCCGGTTGGCGGATCTAAGTAACTGGCATTTTTTAAATGAAGCTGGCTACAAGCAATCGTTTATTTATTTCATTAAAGGTCATAACTGAATTATTCCATCAAAACTTGATTTAAATGATATAAAAGAAATAAGTTGTGATAACCGATTAAAAAGGAAAATGTGCAAATTATTTTCGTCATTCACCGATCGTAATATTGACGGAAGCTTCTAGAACATCATATAGAATTGAGCCCGATGTTTAAAAGAAAATATATGTAGCTGCTTTAACATAAAAAAGCTTTTGTGTGAATGGTTATTGAAATAGTGGTAATTCATTGATAACACTGTAAATTGTGAATATATTTATATATCGAAAGAATGTTACATATATTTAGTAGGTTTTCCTAATAAATTTATCGGTAAAATTTGTATATATTCCTAACTGAGAGCATCGTGGCAACGAACCCGAAGTACAATTTGGACTTCGTAATAAACCTGCTTACATGAAAAGAGAAGAATTAATGAACAAGGCATTGTTCAAATACAATTATAATTATTGTAAAATTTTATGCTTTAATCAATACATTTCAGTTTTTTTTTCCAGAATACAATCTTTTGTATCAAATACTCGGCCTATTCCAGTGGCGGATCCAGGAATTTTGAAAGGGGGGCACCAGTTTGGGGTAGGGGCCTACGGACACACCAAAAAAATGATTATTAAATTTTATGTATATTTTGGACACAAAACGGGAAGGGGGATGGGGTGGGGGCCTCTAAATCCGCCAGTGTATTCATAGGGCGTTATATAAAAGCTAATTTTTACACAGGTACTTGGGTCTTGGATTTTAAACAAGTATGTACCTTATTGATTTGTAAAAAAAAAAAAAAAATAAAAAAATAAAAAAGAGGTAAGGTACAGTTTTTACATATCAATAAGGTGCATACATATTTATAAACCAAGACCCATGTACCTGTGAATTTTTACCCCCAAAAAATCAATTTCTCAGTAAAATATGCATTTCTTGACGGAAATGAAATAAGAGTATCTGAAGTACAATACAGTATATACAATATCCATAACATAGTATATAACAGGTTTCACATTAAAGTCAATTAATGAAATTATTGGAATTGTTATTTAAGTTTTACAAAGGGGGTGGGGTGGGGGTTGAGACGTACTTCTACTTCATGCGGGATGTTGAACAAAGTATTTCTTCCTGCTACAAGCCTGTAGGCTGTCAGTAGAAACTACAATATATATATTATTGGATTTTTCTGTCGGTAGTGGTATAAATTCAATTCCCCGCGCTTGCGCAGGATTTCATCTAGTATAATATAAACCTGCAAAGTTTTATGCACATATGCTAAATAAAACTCATGATATTTAAAATCAAAATTTTGACTCAAGTATGTTATCAGTTTATGGTCTTGAGGCCAGGTCTTCCAACATTCTGTTGCATTTCCCATGGGCCTTAATTATGCTCATTTAGTAGCCGACTCACGTTTTTATTCTATGAAGAGGAGTTTATTAAAAATACCTCCACATTAGAAGAAGATATATTTGCTGTGGCCTTCAATTCGACATTCAGATCAATCGACGACGTTGTATTAATTAACAATAGTTACTGCCATTAATATGTTGATTAGAATATCCGGGTAAACTTTGAATGAAAAACACAATAGAATCTCCCATATCCGTTTAATATTTTGATGTTTTACTGACTATATTTGATAAGGGCCAACTAACAACCAAATGGTATGACAAATGAGTTGACCTCAGCTTTTTATAGTCAACATTCCTTATTTATATAGTGATATTCCGCTTTCGCCTGCATACAGTGTTTCTGGCTCCCCTCTTATTTGATACACAAGAGCATGTTCTGTATAAGATCAATTTTGAAACCGAGACAAACTACTGACAGATAATTTGATGATACAGCAATTTCAATAACTTCGTTTAAAATCAGCATTTTCTAAATACTATGATCGTTATAATGAGATAGTAAGCAAATATAACATATCTTTGGTTCGTATTTTGTCTGACATATTTCCAAACAATTGTTAGGCCTTTGCTTTTATACCAAATTTGACTATGAAATATTCCGTCAACCTGATCAATACATAGGGCTCAAGGCATATTGTGACCGATCGAAACAGGATGTTTACTCTTTCAAGGCACCTAATACCACCTCTGAAATTTCCGGGAGTCCTTGTTTAATTCCCTGTTCATAAATTTATATTGTTCGTAGGTTTTAGTCTTTTTCATTGTTCCAGATTCAGCGGATAACACAGGATGAACATGCATGTATCTACACCATTCAGTCAATTGAATGTTGACTGAAAGGTCTGAAAAGGTCACTGAATGGAAGAGCTCTAACATTCATTCATCTTTCAGTAGATTTTCAGTCACCTTCAGTTAACTGAATGGCAGAGTTTCATCCTGTGTAAGCCTTGCGTTCCCATAAATAAATTCATTAAAAATTATGGACAAAGTTACATCACCGTTATTTTAAAAGTAAGGTTGCCCATGAAGATCTAGTAGATACTCATGAATTGAAATGATTCCACACTATTTGGGGATTTACTTGTACTTAAAAGAGATATACCTATCAAGTTGCTTTGTGAGGTTTGCTATTTCTCTGTCTTTACTTGACAAAGCTGATTCCCATTCCCGCTGCTGCTGTTCTACTTTGACTTTTTCTTTGGACATTTCCAGTGTCTTCTCTTTTGTGAGCATTTGTTCATTATTTATCTCCTGCTTTATTCTTTTCAATTGTTCGTTGGCTCTTATATATGAAAAATATATCAACTATTCAGTATCATATGGACTGAATTTACAGTATGTATACTGATTTGTTCTTGAATCATCTTTTATGTTTGACAATAATATCAACAGGATTAAATAATTGCAAACGCAGTTATCGGTGGAACGCATATTATCTATACAAACCTATCAAGTTGCTTTGTGAGGTTTTCTATTTCTCTGTCTTTACTTGACAAAGCTGATTCCCATTCTCGCTGTTGCTGTTCTACTTTGACTTTTTCTCTTGATATTTCCAGAGTCTTCTCTTTTGTAAACATTTGTTCATTTTTTCTCTCCTGCTTTATTTTTTTCAATTCTTCATTGGTCCTTATATATGAAAAAATTTCAACTTTACAGTGTCATACAGACTAAATTTATAGTTTGTATATTTATTTCTTGAATCCTTTTTTAAATGTTGGACTAAAAATTTATTTGCAGGTCAAACAGCAATAAACAGGTATTAATAATTGCAAACACAGTTATCAGTGAAACACATTGTACAAACCTATCAAGTTGCTTTTTGAGGTTTTCTATTTCTCTGTCTTTACTTGACAAAGCTGATTCCCATTCCCGCTGTTGCTGTTCTACTTTGACTTTTTCTTTGGACATTTGCAGTGTCTTCTCTTTTGTGAGCATTTGTTCATTATTTATCTCCTGCTTTATTCTTTTCAATTGTTCGTTGGTTCTTATATGCGAAAAATATATCAACTATTCGGTATCATATAGACTGAATTTATAGTATGTATACTGATTTGTTCTTGAATCATCTTTTATGTTTGACAATAATATCAACAGGTATCAATAATTGCAAACATATTTATCGGTGAGACACATATTGTACAAACCTATCAAGTTGCTTTGTGAGGTTTGCTATTTCTCTGTCTTTACTTGACAAAGCTGATTCCCATTCCCGCTGTTGCTGTTCTACTTTGACTTTTTCTCTGGACATTTCCAGGGTCTTCTCTTTTGTACGCATTTGTTCATTATTTCTCTCCTGCTTTATTTTTCTCAATTCTTCATTGGTTCTTTTATATGAAAAAAAAATACCAACTTTACAGTGTCACAAAGACTGAATATATTATTATGTATACTTATTTCTTGAATCCTTTTTTAATGTTTGACTAAAATATTATTTGCATATCAAACAGCAATTAACAGATATCAATGATAGCAAACGCAGTTATCGGTGAAACACATATTGTACATACCTATCAAGTTGCTTTGTGAGGTTTTCTATTTCTCTTTCTTTACTTGACAAAGCTGATTCCCATTCCCGCTGTAGCTGTTCTACTTTGACCTGTTCTTTCGCCATTTCCAGTGTCTTCTCTTTTGTAAGCATCTGTTCATTATTTATTCTTTTCAATTGTTCGTTGGTTCTAATACACAAAAAATGATATCAAACTTGAAGCTTTCTATAGACTGTTCATTAACGGCATAAGTGTAGAAATTTCTGTGGTTTAAGCAATAATCATAACATCGTTTGTCATAATAATGTGTTGTAACTACCCAGTTCTATGTTTTAACCGATCAATTTCCCCCATGTCCAAGTGGTGTGAGGCAACAACTACATTTGAAACAATTAATAAGGCGATACAAAGACAAAGTTTCGATATATTTCTGATTCCTACAATTTGCTAATAATTTGTCAACTATATAACAAAAAGCAAAGATGCATATATCACATAAATGATCCAATGACTTGCAAGTCTACCTTTTAAGATCACTTTTGATTTGCTTCAACTCATCCTCTAAGAAATGTATTGTCTGCTCTTTTTCTTTTATTTTTCTCTCCGCATCAGTTAGTTTTTCCTCGTTTCTTACTAACGATTCGTTTAAAGTTTGCATCCTAGAATTAATATTTGTTCATATTTACCACTAAATCAGATAGAAATACATTTAATATTTTAAGTTGAAGTGTTAAAATCATTAAAACCCTGTCCAAATGTTTATTCCAAATTCATTCCCTTTTGCGTAAATCATACGCATCAAAATTCAAAATGAGTATTGAAGAAAAACGCCATAACGACGTCGGCACGATATTGCCGTGCGGCGACAGACAAAACCAAAGATGAGTTTTTTTTTAACAGAGTATTGCATATATCTGATTTTTTTTCAATGTTATGATAAAATGCTTTGATAACATCAATGAAAAAAAAATTACACGTTTAAACAAAAACATAAATCTTTGCATACTTTTGCAAACGCTCTTGATATTCCATGATGTCTTTTGTTTGAGTTAATAATCTTGCTTCAGTTCTTAAATATTGATCCTCAATTTTAGCCTTCTCATGAAAAATATTGCGATTTGTTTCTTCTAATGTATTAAGCCTGAATAAAATGTAAACAAAATACTTGCAAAAAGGTATAACAGGGTACTTGAGATATTATGTGTATACTTCTAAATGAAGCTTATTCTAGCCCTTCTATTTATCATCTATCTAATTGCTCGAGATTTAAATATGTGTTTTCCATAAATTACTATCATTTTACATATAAATCTTAAATTATAAATTTTATAATACAGTATTTAAACGAATCATATCTTAATCATATTATTTAATTGACAGTCAGATTTGACGTCATATGTACATATGGACGTCTTGTTCCCTCTTTATATGAAGTATGGAGGGTTGTTTACACTCAAAATTTACCTTGTGAGCTCACTTTTTGCATGCTTCAACTCATTCTCCAAAGAACGTACATAATTTTCTTTTTCAATCTCAGTTACTGATGCTTTTTCTTCTTTTTCTGTTTCCAATTTCTTTATCACAATGTGCATTCTAAAATACCGGTATCCATATACTATTACTTGTAGTAAGGAAGTCTAAAAGGTACTTAATCGCTTGCAAGGTACTTGAATATGAAGATACAAGAAGTTATATATGTTTCACGAACATATAAAAAAATAAATCAAGTGCAAATATCAACCGGTAAATTACCGATTTCATGAAGTTTAAGATATCTTTACATTTTAAGTATAAAGTTATACCCTATTTGTAAATTTCCCTTAGATAGGAGGCTGCGTTTCTTTTGCGTGTCAATATACTTAAAATGTTTTAAATAAAAAACTATAGGAATCTTAAATCAAGGCATAAAAAGCAATTATACTAACTTTTCCAATGCTCTTTTGTATTCTGTTTTGATTTCTGTTTGAGATGATAATTTTGCTTCCAAGCTTGAATATTCCTCCATGACTTGAGTATTCACGTCAGTAAGATTTCGATTTGTCTCCTCCAAAGCAATTATCCTGAATAAAATGTTTAATACTATTATTAAGTCAAAAAGTCCAAAACCAAATGCCTACCATTATATGAAAACAATTTCTGCATGCAAAGGAAACAAGGGGGCCAAAGGGCCTCGACGCTCATCTGAGTCACTCCTGTGTGAAACGTTGCCCACCTCCCCTGTTGTGTCTGCGCCCAACCCCCAGGTCTCATGATGTGAGATTTGAACAAACTTGAATCTGAACTATCTGAGGATACCTCTATAATAAAATGACCAATCATGGCTTTGCTGTTCTCGCGAAGAAGATTTTTTTAAGACATTTCCTCTATATTCTTATTTAAAACTTTGACCCCTCTTGGGACAACGCTCTGCCCCCGGGGGTTATGCTATGAACAAACTTGAATCTAGAGTATGTAATGAAGCTTTCAAATATGTTTCTTTGTTTTGCCCAGTGGTTCTTGAGAAAAAGATTTTTAAAAGATGCCACCAAATTTTCACGAATTCTTATTTATCTTCCCTTGAAAGAGGGTATGACCCGTCCTGTGAACAAATTTAAATTCTCTCACCCAAGGATGCTTTGTGGTAAGTTGATTTAAAATTGGCCAAGTAGTTTAAAGAAGAAGTCGAAAATGTGAAAAGTTTACAGACGATAGACGGACGTCGGACACTCTTTGATCAGAATTTACTCCTTTATTTCATATTTTTCCTTTACAACATAATTATTTGTAAAAATTTCATCCGATTGATTGATTGTATGTTGTTAAACGTCCCATTGGAGAATTTTTCACTTATAAAGAGACGTCACCATATACCAGTGAAGGGTTTCAAAGTTAGTCCTATACTCCACACCCAGGGCCATTGAGCTGTGTGAGAGCTCTTTATCGTGCGAACACCAACCGTGATACGGGACCTCGGTTTTTAAGGTCTCATCCGAAAGATCCGTGACTTTCACTTCTTGTGCCGAACGCTTGGCGAAGGAACAGTCACTACCTTTGTTTACATCTTAGGTTTGACGCGGCGCTGCGAGCGAGAATCGAACCCGGGCCTTCCGATCACGAAGCGAGCGCCCTACTACTAGGCTATCGTGCTGAAAATGAGACTCAAGCTAAAAAAGACTAGAAATTAAGCAGCATATTTATATGGAAGAAAACACGGGGAAGTGTCCGCGGGAAGCACTTGATCTGAACTCTTATCCACAACATAATATATATTATGTAAAATGGTAACTTCACGCGTTGCTTACATTCACATATGTTTGTTTAGATATTATAAGTCAATTGATCTCACTAATTTAAATATCCATAGCTTCTTGGCAGCAATTGTTTGTTTTTCAGTGTGTTTTTTTACTGAGATTCCTATAATAAATATTGTTGTTAACGGAAAAGTCGAATAATTTGCCTTATTCATATTCTTTGTATACATGTACTGTATAAGAAAAATATGTGTTTCAGTAAGACTAAGCGACTTTAAATGCCCAGAATGAGAAAATACAAAAAATAAATAAATCTATTGTTTTTTGTCATTTTTTGATTCTTTTCTTTGCTTCTTTGAATCTACAAATGCTGAAAATCTCATATTCATCAGGAATCTCTCATTAAAGAGTGTATATTTTTGCTAGAATAACACTTTTCATTATTCTCTGGATTATTTCATTACCTTTCTCTCAATGTTTTGTACTCCTTTTTCATATTCTCATTTTCACGCTGAAGTCGAAGTACTTCATCTGATCTTTTTTTCGATTCCAACTTTGTCTGTTCTTCTCTATTCTTTCTCCTTAAATAACAAGAATACCACATACACATACAGGTTTATACATAGAGGTCAATACTATTTTTCTCTTTTTTCAGTTTTAGTTCAAATGTCTAAATCGTTTCAAAAATCTTTTTTCTCACTTCTGAATTTCCTCCTGCAAATCTAAGACAATCTGTTTTTCATTTTGAAGCTCTTTTTGAAAGTAAAGTCTCTCCTCTTCCATCAAAGTAATAGCTCTCCTCATTTCATCCTTTCTATTTAAAGATAAATATGAGTAAATCAAAAAGAGAATGAAGAGACCATGCCAGCCTTTAGGATATTTTTTTCCAAGTTAGAGCCTAAAAGCGTCCTAGCATGTATACGACTGGGAGAATTAATGATTTCGGTTTAAAGTAAAGATTAGAACAGTGGAGTCACATAACATTTTCATAGAATATATTTATATCAACACAGTTCTTAGGAATTCTGACACGATTTTCTATACAGTCATTGTTTTTATTTACACCTTTCTTTATTCGAAAAGTGTTTTCTTTATGAGCAGATTCATTAAAATGAGTACTGTATTGAAAAAAGTAAAAAGTAAGAACACTAGACCAAAATAAAAATACCTTAAGTTGTTTCTCCTAAAGCGCTCGACCCGATTAATTGTGCCGACTAGAAAGGTTTTTTTTTTATAAGTTTATCTTAATATTTTTATCATTTATTAACTTGAAAAAAATCCAATTTCATCAAAATCCGTTTCTATCAGAAAGGCTGATGCTGTTCTACTGCGACTTTCAAGCGTTCGTTGGAATTACCCAACTTGAGAATTACGTGTCGGTTTCGTTATGGGAAATAGAGATATTTTTGATGATTGCCCTTTCAATGAAATCATCTGGAAATACTCCAGCATCTAAACATTCTGTAAAGTGAACCCATTACTCATTGTCAATTAATTACATGCATATGAATTATAGCTCTCAAAAACAAAGTACATATTTCTGTACTATAAAAACTCAAATTCTTTCTTCTAAGTTGTCATTTTTATAAAGGTTCCAAGATTTCTTTACAGCATTGGAAAATTTAAAGATAACAGTGATCAATCTCATATATTCTGCAGTTAATTAGAATCGTGATTAGGGCAAAACGAAGAATAGTATCTCTTGTAGACTGATCACACCCTCTACGAGCACTCTGTATTGATCAGGTAAGTTGCGTAATCCATAGCCAAAATTATTAAAGGACAAGAGGCCGATGGGCCACAACGCTCATCTGAGTAACTTTGGCCCTCCTGTTCTTGACCAGATTTCCCCCTTATAACATTTATTGTGGCCCAACCTACCCCTGGGGGTCATGATTTAAACAATTTAGCATTTATACTACACCAGGAAGCTTTCACATAAGTTTCAGCTTTTCTGGCCCAGTGGTTCTGGAGAAGTAGATTTTAAAAGGTTTTTTCATTATATTTAAATGTAAAACTTTGATTCCCAATTGTGGCTTCATTCATACCCCCAAGGGTCATTATTTGAACAATTTAGAATCTACACTACCTCAGGAAGCTTTCATATAAGGTTCCGTTTTACTGGCCCAATGGTTCTGGAGAAGATTTTTAAATAACCTCACCTTATTTTTGTCTTTTCTTGATTATTTCCCCTTGTAAGGGGGCTTGGCCCTTCATTTTTAACAATTTAAACTCCCCTTCACCCAAGGATGCCAAAGTACAGGTTTTGGTTAAAATTGACCCAGTGATTCTTTTGAAGTTGAAATAATTGTTAAATAAACGATATGGTACATGTTCTTCAAAATTCGACCCCATTATTTTAGTAAAACATTCAGATATAAAACAGATTAAGCAGACTTTTTGATGTATTTTTGGGATGTATCGAGTCATGTC